AATTGGACTTAGTCAGAGTATCTACTTGGATAAGGTGTTGAAAAGGTTCAACATGGAGAATTCCAAGAAAGGAGATTTACCGATCCAAAGCAATACCAAACTGAGTAAGACTCAGAGTCCGAGTACAGAGGCAGAGATAGCTGAGATGAGCCAATTACCGTATGCTTCCGCAGTTGGCTCGATCATGTATGCTATGACTTGTACCCGTCCTGATGTGGCATTTGCTTTGAGCATGGTCAGCAGGTATCAGGGGAACCCTGGCAAGGCTCATTGGACCGCGGTAAAGAACATTCTCAAGTACCTGCGGAGGACTAAGGATTGGATCCTTACCCTTGGTGGCAGTGATGACTTGAGAGTATTAGGGTATAGTGATGCTGTTTTCAGACTGATAGGGATAATTTCCGCTCTCAGTCGGGCTGGATCTTTACCTTAAATGGAGGGGCAATTTCTTGGAAGAGTTCCAAGCAGGAGACGGTGGCTGATTCGACTTGTGAATCAGAGTATATAGCAGCGAGTGAAGCAGCGAAGGAGGCGATATGGCTAAAGAACTTCATCGGAGACCTTGGAGTTGTACCAGCTATTAAGGAACCTATAGAGATTTTCTGTGACAACAATAGTGCGGTTACCTTAGCCAAGGAACCAAGAGATCATGGCAGATCCCGACACATTGACAGAAAATATCACTTCATAAGACACAAGATTGAAGAAGGACTCCTTGTGACAAGGAGGATATCGTCGGATGAGAATCCTGCAGATCCCCTTACGAAGGGACTGACGAGGGTTAAGCATTTTCAGCATGCGAGACGCATCGGGCTGAGGGACGATATTAGTTTTACAGATTAGATAGTTTTCCTGAAACTTGTAAAATGTAATCGACGTTTGATGATGAATAAAATTTGTGATTTATTTATGAGTAAAGTGTTACTATCATTGTCAATTATTTACTATTGTTTCAGTTTTGCATGTTTTGACTTCCAGAATAATTAATTTATTCAAACCTCCACAATCGATCATACGTCGGAAGTAGGTATGAATCAAGATTGTCATGAATTGGGTTTGTAGATGCCTTAAAGGTGTTTAGACATGGCAATGGTTGCTGCAACATTCATGAGTACTCATAAGTTATGAGTATTGGTATAAACCCACGCTCACTTGTATCACTTCATGGAATTTATCTCGAGTGATCGTGAGACGATAACATCATATAAATCTTTAAACCTAGAGATATGAGTTGTTACCTATGAGTTGGTTGTGCATTGATTGCACGTAAACGCATCAGTAACTTGATGTTATAAAACGTGCCTTTGTGTACAATTCAATAAGTAGTAGAACAAGCATATCAGTCGAAGTTTATCTGTTCCTTCTAGAAATAGAAGCGATATCTGGGCCCCTCGATGATTTTGTGTTGACCCATGTACCAGGCCTGGTCAGAACTAAACCGATGTGTTCAGTGAAGTTCTTCGTCAAACAAATCGGAAAATCGAGAAACAACTGCTAGACAATAAGCAAGACATAGTTCCATGTGTTTGTCCGGCTGATATCATGAGAACAGAGGATTATGTGATCACTTATCTAAAATGGCGCTTCATAGTTCAACAGAGTCTTCATAGTTCGAGGGAGTTTTCGAGAGCTACGATTGCTGGTTGGTTCCTGAAGTTATAGGCAAATACAGTTATTAGACTTATCCAAGTGGGAGTCTGTTGGATAAGGTGTCTAAGTCCATAACTTATTTGGTATATACTTGACCCGACCGGCATGGTCCATTTGGGTTGCATCTCATCCAAACTATTATGGATAATTTTATGAGAGTTATACACATATGTTTATTAATATATTATGAGTTATAATATATTAATATGAAGTTACGTTATTTAATTAGTTTTAGTCTTAAATTAATTATGAATTAATTTAGAGATTAAAAGGAAGACTAATTAGATTATGGGCTATTTGTTTTATATAGTGTGGGCTAATACTCATTTGTTAATGGGCTAGGCTTATGTGGAAGTCCATGGATGATCCATGGAGCTTTTAACCCATGGATCCTTGGAAAGGAAAAGACATGGGTTATTAGGGTTTCACCCTAACCATGCACACTATATAAGCATGCTTATGGAGCATGAAATGGAGCCTAAAAGAGAAAACTAGTGAACTAGTGTGTGTGTGTGCATGTGTGTGGCCGATTTTATACAAGGGTGTATACTCTCTCAAAGTTTTCCAAGAGTTTGTGGTGTTTGTGATTCCATTTGAGGCATTCACACTATTGGTGCTTGGCCCCCAAACTCCTTAGAACCAAACTCACCAAAAGGTATGTAATCTCTTCTAACTCTTTTATGTTGAAATGTTCCCCATGTCATGTTAGATAGGTTATAAACCTTGGAAAATTATTATTTTGCATGTATTTAGACAAACATAGATCCAAGGTTTATTAGGGTTGCATGCACACTTAGGAAGTGTTAGATTGCTCAAAACCCAACATCTTGCTACATGTTGGGTATATTTTACTTTAGTTTCTTGAGTTTAGCTATGCTAGGCTAAACTAATCTTGGTTGACTTTGGTGAAATCCTTTGAATGTTGAAGACTCCATGAACTTGTTCTTGAATCTTTATGAGAATGTTTTGTGTTTTAACATTTTATTACTACTTGTATGTTTTTATTCATGAGTTTAAATGTGCTTGTGGTGACTAGTTGACTAATTTCTTGATTAAGTAAAAGATCATCAAATTAGCAAGCAACAAGGGATTCTTGTATTGGTTTTGCTTCACACAATCATACAAATATTTTCTCCAACATAGAAGTGGAAGCATTTGACTCCTCTTGGATTTGGTGACTTTTTGGTTCTTAATGATAGTTGACTTTCACTAATTACATGCTTAATGGAAACTAAGACTTTGATTAAGAAAATTGTTATGAGTTTCTCTAACCATTTTAACAACTAAGAAGAGTCTAGGTAATCTCAAGCTTCTTGGATTACTATAGCCAAATTAATGATTTAAAACAAGCATTACACTATTGGATTCTAATGATATGTTCATCAAATGTTCAAGTGACGAAACCTTAAGTCAACCACTTATCTCATATTGATTTTACATCAAACTCTTATTTTTGTTGAATTGTCTATTTAAATCTTAGTTTAATTCTATTTTGATTTCAATTATTTCAAAAGACAAAACCCCCCATTTTTTACTTTTACTGACAATTTACAAGTGTTTTTACAAAGAGATTTCATAGAGTTATAAAGTGAACCAATCTCCGCGAATTCGACCTCTTTACCACTATACACTATTTTAGTGTAAAAGTTTTAGGGTTATTAATTTTGTTGGTCTCAACAACCACTAATTTCTTCGAAATCAAATATAAAGATGTTAAATATCTTTATTTATTAAAAGGAAAATCAAATGTATAGAGGGAAATCAAGATTGACATACCAGAGAAATGGGGCGGACTTTGAACTTTTTGTTAGGGTTGTCTTTAGTCTTGGATGTGCATATTCGAATTAGGAGTCGATAATTACAAAGCTCCTCTTTCTTTGCGATGGAACTAGATGAATAGGAGCTGACATCTTCTTTGATTTTGGGTATGGGTTCGAAAGTTTTTTGATTGAATTTAGGTCTAGGTATCGTATTATAATTGATGGAACTCAGAGATGATCCATGTAGGAGTGTTTTCTTTTAATGATTGTCAACTTATGTAGCCATGCCAACAAATATAACATCAACCGATAATAATGATTTAATTTACACAAAACAGCAAGTTCAAGGGGAAAATATGGATAAAAAAAAATTCATGGACTAAATGTGTACAAACCTAATAATATATTACTCTTTTAAATTTTAAGTCATTATCCCTTTTGAAAATCATTTTGAACGTTGGATTTAAAATAAATTTTAAACAAAATATATTTATTTAATTACATCTTAAATGCCTAAAAATATTAAGGATAAATTTATATATTTATATAATAAGCAACAAAATATTATAATTGTTCAACCTACTATCTAAATATGATATAAATCCTTTATAAACTTAAAAACTTTCAAAATATCATATTTACCTAATTTTTTTTAAATATACTTGTAACTTTTGTTTTGGATTATGGAGTTTTAATTTTATTTGTGATAGATTGCGAGTTATTAAGCCATTGATATTGATTTGGATACTTATCTTTAGTTCATTCATTAAAACCCTATTTTGATTTGAGATGGTTTTTCTTTAATTTTAGGAGGTTTGATTCGATTAAGTTAGGTCGACATATTCTTACTCAAAATAAATCAACCTTACATATTCTCATTAGACAATTTAATTATGAAATTTATTTTGATTTGTGTTAAAATTGATTTAATTCTAACATAAATGCATTAATAATTTAAGTAACAAAGGAGTACTTTATACACTGATGCTTGGGGTTAAATGTTTTTATCCATTAAAATGTGAAAAATACGTACATATTTTATTGGTATTTCATTGTGAAACCCATGTTAAAAGGCAACAATGATGACAATTCAATATGTAAACTTCCTTTTGTAAGAGTCCTACCGAAAGGGCCAAAATCCTCACGAAATGATAAAAAAATATCATCGTCTTTCCCTACGAAATGTGTGTCACCGTGAGAAATGTAAAAGACTTTTAATCGGGGACCAAGAACATTTTGTAGTGTCAAAGTTTAAGCTAATTTACGTGAAAAATATTTTTTTTCTAGCAAAAAGACATAAAATTGGTCATAACATATTTCATAGGGGACATTAATATTTCCCATGATGATGAATATTTGGAAGTGCAAAGAAATAGAAATTGTTTTGATCATTTCGCAAAAACCATCAAGTAATGTAGTTTTCCATTTTAGTATTTTATAGTGCTCCCTTAATTTATGGGTATTTTCTTTAAGAAAAACACTTAAAATTAATAAATACCTAAATAATAATTAAAAAAAAGCGAATAGCCCACGTGGTATTTCCGTAAACGCACATGTAGTAACCTCGATTCCTCGTGGCCAAAATGAGATATTTAATAGCCGTCGGAGCCGTACCCAAACTCTCTTCTCTCATCCCAAATTTCACTCGCCGGCTGTTTCTTTTATATCTTTTTTTTCACTCTTTCGGTCGTCGTATTCCTTTTCATCAACTAATGCACCCATCTTGATAGCAAAATATGTATTTACCCAAATGGATTTCTGTAATTTTGATTGTTTCCATATTCAAACCCCAAATCTCGATTGGGGTTTCTGATATTTCGAAACAATTTCTCAAACTTGCTAAAGAAGACGAGGTTTTCGATTGGATGGTGGGGATTAGGAGAAGGATACACGAACATCCTGAATTAGGTTACGAAGAGTTTGAAACCAGTAAAATTATCAGAGACGAATTAGATAAATTAGGTATTGATTATAAGTATCCAGTTGCTACTACCGGCGTTATCGGTTATATAGGCTCCGGTGAACCTCCTTTTGTTGCTATTAGGGCAGATATGGATGCTCTTCTCATGCAGGTTTTATTCATTTAAATCGTATGCTTGCTTTATTACTTGTATTTCTGTTTATTGCTAGTGATAATTAAGGAACCCTGTTGACTTTTTGATGAGTACAAACTTGGACCCTTGCTGTATGTTTGACTTTTTCATTTTGATTGTTAAGCGAAACTGTTGACTTTTGATAGAAACTTAATTGTTGTACGTTTGACTTTGATTTTGAGATTAGGAAATGGTGGAATGGAAACACAAGAGTAAAGTTCCTGGAAAGATGCATGCTTGTGGCCATGATGCTCATGTCACTATGCTTCTTGGTGCAGCCAAGATTCTAAAAGACCATAGCCATCTTTTAAAGGTTTGTTAATTTACTTTTTAGCATTAAATGCAACAAGGAAATATCAACATACCTTCATTGACTATTAGGACATTGTATTTTAAAAAAATCTACTCAATTATAGCATTATACCAACAACATTTTCTTATCAGGACTTTATACTTTATACAATGGGCAAATTAAGACATTAATGCCAGTACTTTCATTCATTTTTCCAAATTAACCATTTCGACATGTTATATCAGTTCACTGGTTAATTTCCCAAATTAACCATCATAATCGGTTGCTATTTTTTGCAAAAAAAAAAATCAGGGGACGGTGGTTCTTGTTTTCCAACCAGCAGAGGAAGGGGGTGGAGGGGCAATACGGGTAATAGACAGTGGAGTTCTTGAAAATGTGAAAGCAATATTTGGTCTACATGTATCTCCAGGGTTACCTTTAGGTGAAGTGTCCTCTAAATCAGGTACACTTTTGGCTGGAAGTGGCTTCTTTGAAGCTGTCATAACTGGAAAAGGAGGTCATGCAGCCATTCCACAACATTCAATAGATCCTATTTTAGCAGCTTCAAATGTTGTTGTTAGTTTACAACATCTAGTCTCACGAGAAGCCGATCCTCTTGATTCTCAAGTAAGCTAAAAACTTGCTATCCTCATCATAAAATCAAGAAATAGCAATGTACTCAATGTCATCAAAAGTAAAATCAAATGCTACAATAAACAAATAAAGAAAGTACATTGCTATTTTTTGTAGGTAGTCACGGTTGCTAAGTTTCAAGGAGGTGGTGCTTTCAATGTTATTCCAGATTCAGTCACCATTGGTGGTACCTTTCGAGCTTTTTCTAAAAAAAGTTTCATGCATCTCAAGCAGCGGATCGAGGAGGTAAAGTTTTTTGATGAAATAAAATGTACATACTTATAAAAATGAAGCTAATTTATTTATATAAAAAAAAAAGGTTATTATAGGGCAAGCAAAAGTACAAAGGTGCAATGCGAGTGTTGAGTTCTCCTCAAAAGACAAACCTTTTTTTCCTGCTTCTATAAATGATGAAGGATTGCATAAGCACTTTGTAAAAGTTGCAGGGGATGTTGTTGGAGCTTCTAATGTTAAAAGTATGTTGCCATTAATGGGATCTGAGGATTTTTCGTGTTACCAAGAGGTGATGCCTGGTTATTTCTACTTTCTTGGAATGAAGAGTGAATCGAATAAAAATCCTGCATCTGTTCATTCTCCATTTTTTGAAATTAATGAAGATATACTTCCCTTTGGTGCTGCAATGCACGCTTCTTTAGTTGCTAACTACCTCACTGATGTTCAAACTTCAGAAACTCATGACGAATTGTAAAGTTTTTTTTTTTTTTTTTTTTTTTTTTTTTTTCTTCTTTGTGTATTGTTTTCCTTGAGGACTAGTTTGATTCATGTGCCATTGTTGTGTATCATTTTACAGAATGTTTACAGTTTATCTCATAAGGGTATACTATTATGGTCATCGAATTTGTTTATAATTGATGCCATAAACTATTTATCCATTTAAACGTACTTTTATGCTTCTTCATTGAGAATAAAATTCTCTCATTTGCCATGCTTTTAAAGCGTTGTAGGATCTGTTTAGGATTCTAAATTACGATTGTGTACCCCGGTTGTAGTAGGGTCTTTCATGCAAAGAGTTACAAGCACTTAAAACTGATTATCATGATTTGAAGTCAGAATACGAACAAGTGCTTTGCCTAAACTGATGAGGATTCTGAGTTTCTAATCAAAATAACCAGATTCAAACAATCAATTTAGGAGTTGCTATAAGAAAACAGATAATCAGAACAAATGTAATATTACCTAACTGTCCCTAGCTTTGAACAGCTAATTCTGCATCATCAAGTCCCAATAATCACCACCAAACACCCACCCAATCATAAATGATAAAACCATGATCCATGCTGCCATTGGTTATCTACTTATTGAAATAAAGATGAGAAATGACATGAAATCAGTAGCCAAAAAACTGTGCAGAGTTCTGCAGGAGTATATCCAGAGCATTAGGAGCAAACTTTCTTGCAAAAAGGAAGCAAACTGAAGTTGGCTGGTTATTATAAACACACGTATGGTGTTGCTGAATTTTCCTGAAAAATTCCAATGTCACATCATTCTTCTCAAAAGTAGCTGGATGAGCACCACCCCTTGACCAGTCAACATATGTAAGTGTCCTATTCGCCAATAAATATGGACTCTCAATAGTCAGCATTGTTGGGAAATAATGCTCATCAACATAACAATCTGGTGTGCAAAACTGCTCGAATTTGGGATAATATTTGAGATCTTTTATGATATCAACTGCTAGTTTCCTGTTAGCTTCAAACCATTGAGACCCTTTTCGCCATTGGTCAATGTTGACCTCGGGTAACATTTTATCATCATATCTTCCCCTACCATAAGGCCCAGGCTCATCAAATGCACCCATGAAACTGAATCTTGATCTTGATATGTAGTGATAGATAATGCTGAATCTTTGAAGAGGAATGCAGGCTTCTGATAATAGAACAAACCACTCGTTTGAGATGTCTAACAATGCATTTGCTAGAAGTCTTCTTTCTGCATCACACATACTCATCATTCCCCATTCCACCACCTACATACAAGTAAGAAAATGAGTATTTTTTAGAAATCTAAACAAGAGAAGAAAGAAAGAATCAAATACTTAAAGTATATTTGATCAAAAGAAAGAAGGAAGATAACGGTGGCTGACCTGACTAGGAACTTGTTTCTGATAGAAGACTGAAGAGGTTGAAAAGTTTGCACGATATGAAGGCATTGTGTGAACATAAATGGTGTAAAATTCTTCATTCCCTTTGAAAAACCTCTCCCATAGTGGTGCCAATGGTAAAGGTCCTCTTGTCAAGAACATGAATGCAATCTTTGGAGATCTTTTAAAAGGGTATTCTTTGATCTCAGGAACAAATGAAGCTCTCCAGAATAGCTCGCTATCATCCAATGTGTGCATATATGTTGATGGAGGTTCAATCCAGTTCTGTAAACTATTGGATTCTTGAAAACACGACTGTAGTAAGGTCTGTGCTCCTGAAATGATATTCTGAGTGCCTAGATATCGGATCTTGAACATATTTATGATTGAAAAGCCAATGCAAATGCCTAGAAACAATAACATGAATCCTAGTAATCTCATAGGG